TGGGACAGTGGCGAAAGGACCCTAAGTTCGCTAGGCGAGCAGAGCAGCGAATGACTCGCCTAACAAATGACTGTTCGCCTAGCGAGCATGACAGCACACAACCACTTCTATAAGTAGCACGAGTTACTTTTTTGAAAATATCTTATTTTTCTTGTACTTGCATTGAGAGGAGTTTTCTGACCTAGAATCTCATTTCCTTCATTCTTCATCATCTCTTAGCAACATTTCACAAAAAGAAGGTGGATTCCCATCCATTCTCGATTGTTCAACTTGGATGTTGATCAACCTTCACCCGAAACTTGTTGCTCAAGTCATCATGAAAATGAGTAGCTAAATCCCTCTCTTGTCAAGGTTAGGAATAGTTGGTTCAGATTTTATGTATTCTTCTTAATCTCTTGTATGTGAACAAGTTCTTAATCAATATAGATGAAGTTATTTGCCATTATTTTTACATCTTTGGTTTGGTTTGTATTAGAGATAAACTTTCCAAGTCTTGACCTAATATCTTCATCTATCAATTACCCAAATGCTAGAGATAGATTTGAAAGTTGATATCTGCTTTGTATCGTTCTTAAAGCTTATTGTTCTGATCCGTTAGGTAGAGAGATCATCTAACGGTCGAAACAATAACCTTCATGAAATCAATTTAGAGATGAACGTTTTTGTGAGGATATGTGGTTATGTTGGTTAGAAATTCGTTCACATATTTGATTGGTAGAATACGTTTAGGACGGACTAGCGAACCCTAATCTTAGCATGCTTTTATCAAATTTAAGATCGATTTTTATTACGCTTTATTTCTTGCAAACTTTTGTTACAAGATTGAAACCATTAAAAACCCCCTACTCTTAAGTTACTAAACCGTTGAACGACATGCATATATTCACTTCAATCTCTGTGGATACGATAAAACACTATCGAAAAATACTTCTAACAAAATGGTGCCGTTGTCGGGGATTGGTGTTGTGATTTTGAAGTGCATTGCAATGGTTCTATGTTTTTAAGTTTTGTATATATTGTATATATTTATTTTCTTTTTACGTTTTTTCTAGTGTGTTCAGGAATGACGAAAACTCCTTCTAGAGTGGTTGCTATCGGTATAAAAGCATTCAATGAAGCTTCAACCAAGCTTGGATGGCGATGATAGTGCGAAACAAGTGAATGTTGTTAAGGTACATGGTTTCCTTTGTTTAGAATTTTAGAATGCTTAAGAACTTAAGTCTTTGTGCAAATGAAATTTGTTCGTTTGGCAACTTGTTTGAATGATTGTTTCACTTAGGACCAAAAACCACAATTTGTGAGAAAGCTTCCATTGTTTACTAAATGTTGGATTTTTTATAAACTTTGTTGATTCGTATGATTCATGCTTTATCTTGTTATCATTGTGAATTTGTGGAAGCATTAGAAATGATCAAGGCACTTGTTTGTATTAAGCACAACCATGTCCAAATGCAACTTACTCGTGAGTAGAGAGAATTCGTTAATCCCTTTGAGCCTAAACAATGTGAATCTCATTCTTTATTTTGTGAGATTCTAAAATTTTTCTTGAACCCGTGAATTTGTTTTAATTGTCTTCTTTGCCATAAAAAGCTAAGAGCATTCACTTGAGGGTTGAGTAAAAGTTAAGTTGGGGCGAATGAAAAAGGAAGATAGTAGGTTGTTACAACTTTTGAAAAATTCAAGCAAGCACAAAAAAAAACTGTGTGAATATGAAAAAAGAATGAAAAAAGAAAGAAAAAAGAAAAAAAAAGAGAAGAAAAGAAAAAGAATGCTTGCTTGAAAAATAAAAATAGTGAAATAATAAGTTATGAAATAAGGTTTGTGAAGGTTTGCAACTAAGAAACAAATGGAATGAAGTTGAGATGTGTAAATAATGTGTTCGGTGAATGTCTTTTTTGCATCGACAATTTCGTTTCAATGGCCTTAGTAATGTCCCTTGTTTGTAAACCCGACCAAGCTACAACCTTAAAGACCTTAGTGATCTTCTTGCCTCCATATTTTCACTTTTGATTTGTAGATATTGTATGAATTAAATTGATATTGGCATTGTTTGTTAGGTGAGTGAAATTGTCCCCGCGGTTGCAAACACGTAATTTCTCCAATCCTTATTTGAAGAGGAGAGATAGGGTAATTAATTCATGAAAAACATAGTTGTTGATTGATACATGGCTTTATATTTGTTTTAAGAATTTAGTTCTTGTGCATTGATTGATTCTAAACATTTGAAACCATGGCTTGTTTGCATCATTTGTGTTTGAGCCAATTTTATCCATTCTTGGGTGAATCTTAATCTTGAGCAAATCCTCTTGTTGCAAAATGAGATGCCTACTTTGCTTGAGGACAAGCAAAAATCTAGTTGGGGCGAGTTGTTAGATGCCAAATTTCACTTATTTGATCTATCAAATGTTGGCATCTTTCACTCATTTTTGTCAAAAAAGTGTTGAAAACCACTCTTGCTTTGTTTGGTTTGCAATATATTGTGAAAATCTCTTGGTACCTTTGATTTGTGTGCTATTGTGCAGGAATTAGGCACAAAACAAATGGAAATTAAGACACAAGAAATATGACAAAGAAACCAAGACAGCATGCAAACAACAAAATGCTATCATGTTCGCTAGGCGAGCAGGTAGCAAAGCTCTAGCGAAGAAAACTAGCAAAGTTCTCTAGGCGAGCAAGTAGCGAACACTCCCAGACTTGGACAGAACCGAAAGGACCAAAAGTTCGCTAGGCGAAATCAGAGCGAAGGCTTCGCTAGCTGCTCGCTAGGCGAACATGGCAGATCCTGAATGAGTTATTTAAGTGTTTTTATTGCTTTTTAGGTCAGAATTCCACATTGTAACATTAGGAACATCAAAACTTATCTCTCTTCATCTATTTTAGAGAGAGAAACACAAAACGGTAAGAGGGAGGAGGTAAGATCTTTGATCTCTTGTTGGGGTTTGGATGTAATCTTTTGATACCTTATGTATTTCATCTAATTTATGTTTGTGAACTAGTTTGGATTCTCTATTGTTTGATTATCTTTGATTATGTATTTGTGGGTCTTGACAAAACCTTTTCACATCTTTGATCTCAGATTTTCTTCTATCAATGAACAAACTTTTGACATGGTTTTGAAGTTGATATTCATTGTATCTTTTATGGTGTTGTGTTGATTAAGTAGCATGGGTAGGATAAATATGATATTGTGTGGGTATGTGATAATAGTGATGAAGAATGATGTTCATAACCATTTGGCGGATTAGATGAATACATGTAAAAAGGATTAAACGTGTGTACGTATTTTGATCATTGTGTTTTATACAAAAAAATCGTTTATCCGATATGAGTTTCGTCCTTGTTTACCTGTTTATCTTTGATTTGAACCGTGATAGAGATATACTCTTCAGATCTGGATCTAGGATGATTACCTGTTAGGTCCTAAACGCTAGAGATAAATTTAGGCTTAACATTTGCGTGAGTATTAGTTCATAATGCTCTGTTGTGTTTTTGTTGGATGAGAGATCACCAATGAGACAACATGGTTGTTCTCTCGATGCTGCATTAGAGATAAGCTTTGGCGTGGGTGATACGTGATGATATTAGACGAATGATTGTGTTGTGTTTAATTTGATCAGAAGAATGCACATGTTATCATTGATGAAATCCAATCCCAACAAGGCTCCGTTTATATTTCAGTCTTTATTTTATAATTTCTGTTTTTATTTATGGTTCCTCGAACTTTTTAAACCAAAACTTTTGAACAATAAGCTTAGAAATGTAGAGGTCGTTAAACGTCGTTCATATCGCACTAATCCTTGTGGAGACGACAAAACTGGGTACTTAATATTTTTTGCTTGCTGCTTTATTGCTTCAACAAACGACAGTAAGGACAAATCAACTGGACCTCCTCCAAAAACCTCTGGCCCAGCATTCGCAGCTGCCTCACCCTCTAGAGGTGGCACTGGATCAACATCATCAGTAGGAGGTGAGACTGGATCAACAACATCATTCGTAGGAGGTGGCACTAGTGAAATCTGACGTTTGTGGGAGGATGAAGAAGTGATGCGTCAGATGGTGAATCTCGTCTCCTACGAGAAAAAGAAGATGAAGTGGCCTGAGGAGAAGCATGAGCTCCAAAAGTAGACGACTCTTACTGATCAAAGGGGCATGAAACCTCTAGAATCTGTTAGCTATTCTCCCGCCGAACAGATGCGTGTTGAGCAACCCTACCATGCCTCAGTCTGTTTTCTATAAGTCATTATGCTTGTAAGTTAAAGTATGGCAAACCATTAGTGCAGACAAACAACAAACAAGCAAGAAAATATTAAAAAAAAGAAGAGGAAACCATACTCATTTCTAACCCTAATCATTGATGTTCTCTTGAGTTCCCTTGAGCCTTGTTGAATGAAATTTGACTTTGTGTAGTTTGAGAGAGATTGAGTTAAGTTTGAGTAAAATGAAAAATGAGAAATGAGAAAAGTGTGATGCGACATAACCTCCAAAATATTTCGGAGATGCATCTCCAGAATATTTTATTATTAATTGAACTTTTGGTACGTCTGAAGATACATGTTCGAAAACAAAAAATATTTTTATAATTTCACCTAATACAAGAGAAATATATAAAATGCGTTAAAAAATTTACTAATTTTTTTAATCCCATTTTCTCTCACTTACTCAATCTATTAAATTTTATTCTATTCTACTCTATTTATTTTTGAATAATAATAAAGAAGAAAAGAACTAAAATAAGTTAAACAAAAAAAGAGTGTCCCTTTTTGGTTGAGAAATACAAATTTGGTTGACTCACCCTCTCTCTCTTCTCCTAGTTTCCCTGTTTCACTACCTCCTTCTATATGCACTCACCTGTCTACTCTTTTTTTGTAGCAACAACAAACATCCAACAAACCTCACTCACTCTCTTACTCTCTTCTTCTTCTTCTTCACCTCCACAATTCATCAAACACCTTACCCTCATTCCTCCACTTTCTTCCATTGTCACAACCCTTTATGGCTAAATGTCCCAAAACGAATCCCAAACCCATCACCACAACAACAATGTCGAAACCAAAACCACCCTCCAAACACCACCACTTTCCTCAAAAACCCACCCAATTTTGACCCTTCAATTAAAAGAATCACAAGACTCAATTTTTTCCACAAATTCAAACACCCTTTTCACCAAAACAATGACTTCAACAAACTCCACTTCCACAGAACCACTACCTTCCTCCGATGACATCGCCGCTAAAGCCGTTAACAAACGCTACGAAGGTCTCGTCACTGTTCGAACCAAAGCTATCAAAGGTAAAGGTGCATGGTATTGGACTCATCTCGAACCGATTCTGGTTCGAAATCCTGATTCGGGTCTTCCTAAATCGGTTAAACTCAAGTGTTCTTTGTGTGAAGCTGTTTTCTCTGCTTCAAACCCTTCGAGAACAGCTTCTGAACATTTAAAGCGTGGAACTTGTTCCAATTTCAACAACTCCGGGTTGAAACAACACCAACAACAACAACCCGGTTCAGTTCCTTCACCGGTTCCTATTTCGTCGGTTTCCGGTTCGAACCGGAAAAGGGGTTCACCACATCAAATGGGTGTTCCTGTTTCTGTTTCAACCTCACCAACATCATTAACTTATCAAAATCATAACTTGGCATTGGTTGAAATCGGGTACCCTCAGGTGCATGGTAGTATGGTGCACCATCAGAATCAGAATCAGAGTTTGAATCAGAATCATTTGATGTTGTCCGGCGGAAAAGAAGATTTATGTGCTTTGGCTATGTTTGAAGACAGTGTGAAGAAGTTGAAGAGTCCTAAAACTTCACCTGGTGCTTCATTGAGTAAAGAACAGGTTAATTCTGCTTTGGATTTACTTGCTGATTGGTTTTATGAATGTTGTGGCTCTGTTTCATTGTCAACACTTGAGCATAGAAAGTTTCAAGCTTTTCTTTCTCAGGTTGGTTTGCCTGTAGGAAGTTGTTTGAGGCGCGAGGTTTCCGGTCCAAGGCTCGATGCGAGGTTTAGCGAGGTTAAGAGTGAGTCCGAGGCGAAAATTAGGGATGCAATGTTTTTTCAAGTAGCTAGTGATGGTTGGAAGAGTTATAATAATAGTAGTAGTACTAGTAGTAGTAATAGGAATTTGTATGGTTTGTGTTGTGGTGGTGAGAGTTTGGTTAAGTTTATGGTGAATCTACCGAATGGGAATAGTGTTTTTCAAAAGGCGGTGTTTACGGGTGGTGGTGGAGTTGTGAATTCGAAGTATGCCGAAGAGGTTTTGTGGGAGACGGTGACCGGGGTTAGCGGTAGTGTTGTTCAGAGATGTGTAGGGATTGTTGCTGATAAGTTTAAGGGTAAGGCATTAAAGAATTTGGAGATTCAAAACCATTGGATGGTGAATACTTCTTGTCAGCTTCAAGGGTTTGTTAGCTTAATCAAGGATTTCAGCAACGAGCTCGAACTTTTCAGTGTTGTTACGAAGAATTGTCTCAAAGTTGCGAACTTTATAGACACGGAGTCTCAGGTGAGGAATGTTTTTGTTAATTATAGAATGCAGGAGATGGAGTATGGCGGGTTGATACGCGTCCCTTCGCCGAAATGCGATCCGTTGAAGAATTTTTCGTTGGTGTTTCCAATGCTTGAGGATATTTTGAGCTGTGCTAGAGTGATCCAAATGGTTGTGATGGAGGACGGTTTTAAGGCGATGTTTATGGAGGATCCGGTAGCAAGAGAAGTGGTTGGTTTGGTTCAGAGTGAGTTGTTTTGGAACGAGCTCGAAGCGGTTTATTCCCTCGTGAAGATTATTAAAGGAATGGTTCACGATATAGAGGCTGAGAGGCCGTTGATTGGTCGGTGTTTGCCTCTGTGGGAGGAGTTAAGAACCAAAGTGAAGGAATGGTGTGGAAAGTACAATGTCGTTGAAGGACTAGTAGAGAAAATACTCGAAAAACGGTTTCGGAAAAACTACCACCCTGCATGGTCAGCAGCGTTTATACTCGATCCGCTTTACTTGATCAAAGATACAAGCGGAAAGTATCTTCCACCGTTCAAGTTTTTGACGCGCGAACAAGAGAAAGACGTGGATAAGTTACTCACGAGACTAGCTTCAAGAGAAGAAGCTCATATCGTATTGATGGAACTAATGAAATGGAGATCAGAAGGACTCGACCCTCTTTACGCACAAGCAGTTCAGATGAAACAAAGAGACCCTGTCACCGGGAAGATGAAAGTCGCAAATCCGCTTAGCAGTCGACTTGTTTGGGAAACATGTCTCTGCGAGTTTAAATCTTTAGGGAAGATCGCAGTGAGGCTCATTTTTCTTCACGCAACATCGTGCGGATTCAAGAGTAACTGGTCTTTCATGCGGAAAGTTTCTTCGGCAAACAAAAACTCGAGAGTCGCATTGGAAAGAGCTCAGAAAATGATATATATCGCAGCTCACGCAAAGCTTGAAAAGCGAGACTTTTCTAGCGAGGAAGAAAAAGACGCAGAATTGTTCGCCATTTCCGGAAGCGATGAAGATAGCATGCTAGCTGAGGTATACGCCGATGCAATGCAACCTTAGTATAAAGAAATTCAAAGTTTCTGCAACGGCATCACAGCCACATTTTTTTCTTCTCGGAATAGAGGTTCACAGAGTGACCACGATCGCATTTTAATACCTTAGCGTAACGCGTATCGAGCTTCTTTTTATCAAGTTTATAGATTTGTGTAACTTTTTTAGGATTTATCAGATTCTTTAATGAAAATGGTTTTGAGTTCTAATTTTATTTTCAATCTGAAAAAGATGAGTTATCTTATACCATGTGTGGATGAAATGCAAAATTAGAAACATAATAACTGTTTATGAAAATCACTTTAAACTTATGTGGTTCTCTTTTCTTGTTGTTTTTAAGATATTGACACTGAGATGATAATGATAGAAAGCACTTTCATGCAAACTATTTGAAAAATTTGAAGTAAAGTGAATCTTTGTGGTTGTGTATGAAAAATTATTAAAAAGCAAGAAAGGTTGTATTGTTGGAGCAATGTTTTTCAACGACAATAGAAATGACATCTTTTGAGGAGTGGGGGTGGAGGGAACATATCAGTGGCAGTAACTATGTGATCGTTCGATCTCAACCGTTTGATCTATATAAACGCTGATATCAAATCGTCCTCCGAGGTTTTCTTCAACTTGAGAGATCAGTCTCTATGTGATTTTCTTCATTTTTTGATAGTGTTTAATCTGTGAACTATTGATGCATGTGATTACCTTTTGAGAAAAGTGAAGAAACATATCTGGACAAATTTTGGCCTACAGTTTGATTATTAATTCATGTTTTGGAGTTTTCTGTTTCCTAAACAGTTTGTTATAGTACCAACAAAAATTATTTCTAAATATATTTTATTTTCTTACAAGTGAAAAGAAAAAGCATATAGAGCTGTGAATATCTCTGAATCCATTGCTATTGCATGCTTCATGAATATAAATCGTCTGATTTTGATGGAACTGAAAGCTGCAATTGATTGCATGAAGAGAAAGATTTTGGAGAGGACATAGAGCTTAAATCTATGTTTATTTATGTGATAACTAGCTTAGATGCTTGTTATTGAACAAAAGCTATTTCTAGTTCTATTTATAAAAAAAATTAATTTTTTATATTCATTGAATTATTAAATATTGATGATTCAATCAATTTAAAAAAAATAAATTTTCTCATAAGAGGGAGTATATAGAAGAGTTTTAAAATGTGAATAGTGAAAAAATGGAATAGGTTGGTAGGGTGGGTGGAAAACCAAACATGGTTTTGACGTGTGTCAACCTCGGATGAAGATAAGAATCTTGGTATCCAAACAAGTTTTGTAAAATACTAACCTGCCAATATTTCTCCTGGTGTCTTTGTTTGGCCCCACAATCGGAGAGTTGTTATACATGTCACTGTTTGGTGTCATGGTCAAAGAAGAATGACCTTTCATATATATATATATATATATATATATATATATATATATATATATATATATATATATATATATATATATATATATGTCTGTTATATATATATATGACTCGAATGCAGGTGTGACAAACAATCATGCAAAATACAAAGAGTAGGTTAGAAATCTTGATTCGGTTTGAAAAAGAAACAGGTTAAATCGAGAGAACTATCATATACAGAGTTTTGATATAAAATCGAGAGTATCAATAAGACTAATCCTCAAAAACTACAATAGAGAGAAACACCACATTTCAATCCAAAATCTGAAGGTGTTAACTGAATGAATTTTCTTTCTTATTAATCTAATATTTCATCCATCCATAAATAATGCGTGATTTTAATCACTTACACTTTCACCCGACAAAACAGGTATGATTGGTGAAGTATTGATGAGTATGATTTGAACTACTACAAAATTGCATCATGCATGCATGCATAAATATACATAGAACTTTAGTGTAAATAACTAACATAATCGACCTTAACTTCATGATCACATTATATACTAATAGTTTATACATAAAATCTGGAATCATATTGGTAAGTAATTCTTCTCCTGAAAAGAAGGCTTTAATGCAATATCTCCAACTCCAACAACCTAAAAGAGCAGATCATAATGAAAAGTTTCTGAAACTACTTAATGACTGAAAAAAAAAGTCAAAGAAAGAAGTAAATAGTGTTGAACTGAGTGAGTAATTAGAGTACCACTATTACAGTACTATAGTGTAAGTAAGATGCTGATTTCCAGAATTGATTTATATTTGTACTCAATTTGGTGTGTAAGTGACAGTCGATCATGTCGGCAATTCTAACAAAATTTCTGACTACTCACCAACTTATTACAAAACAACTTTTTTCTGCCTTTTTCTTCTTTTCAGAACTTATATACTATACTGTATATTTTTCCTTTAGTTTATTTTTTAAAATAACTGAAAAAAAAACATTAATGACAATTTTTACTATTTTAATAACTATTAAAAAGAATTTATTGAAAAACTCAGGAAACCTTATAATTAAATTTGATTCAATTTTACCATGAACATGACTGTGATGAAATTTTAAAAAGTTACAAATTGAAGTTCTTTTATTTCTTGTTGTAAGATATGATTTCATATTTGAATTGAATCCAGTCTGGTTTTTTGTATAGAGGAATGTGATGATTGGTACAGGACAAGACTATCTTTTTACGAGAATCTTCATATTTTCAATGTTCCCTCATCATTAACCTTTTTATTTTTTGAGTGAGTAAATAAATTGTAGTACTACTTGAAACGGTGAGCACAGGTCAAAATAGCCTTTGAATTTTGTAATGGATGAATAATAATTAAAAAATAAAATTATTATTAAAATTTTTCAAAATATGAATAATAATTTAAAAAAAAATTAGTTTAGTTTTCTTGCAATAATATATTTTTATTTACATATATAATATATGACATACTTTTATTTAGCTAACCTAACATATATAGTATAACTATAATTATTTATGTCATAATAATAGTATCTTTACTTATATTTATTTGGACAAATTTAAAAGTAGTTATTTAGTTATGTAATAGATTTTTTAAAAGTTATCTAAAACTATGTAATATCTAAAAAATTGCATTTTTATTTATGTATTAAATTTAAAACTACTAATAATTAATTAAAAATATATGTAATTTTTTTATAAATATAACTTTATAAAAATGCATCAAGACTCGATATCAAAATGCAACAAAAAAATTAAGAAAGAAGATATTAATTATCTTTTTAAAAGAAAGGGGTAAGGAGTAGTAGGTATAGAATGCACAAAGATTCTTTGAAATAGTGTTTTAACCACTTGTATTATGGTGAATAATGTAATGTTCTTATCTTAAATTAACTTTTAATCTCAGAAAAGTATAAACTTTATTCTTAATTAAAGGGAACATTTTGGTACTGATTTTTGAAACAGTTTATATTCCTTCCCTCTTCTTGTCTTTTTGATGCCAATCTCCTAACAAACCTTGTACTAATCTTTAACCTTTGGTATTTTGGCAGATTTGAAAATTTGTGTGATGATGATGATAAATTGATGATGATTACATGTTAATCAATTATTCTCCCATCACAACTAGGACAATAGGACAATGATTGCATGCTAGTTATTTTTATTTTCTACCGGTATAAAACTTGCTCGTAGATTTCAAGATCTAGTATGGTTTTGTTGGAATTTTTTTTAACCCCAGACCATTTTCCTTTCCAGTACACTCCCAAATGCTGCTGCACCCTGTTTTTTTTTTTTTTTTTTTTTTTTTTGGTTTATTTAGATTTTAGTTTTAGTTCTTAGTTTTGTGATTTTTTTTATTAAAATATTTAATTAGAGTTTTTAATTAGATTTTAATCTTGAATTATTAATTAGATATTTATTTTGATTTTTAGTTCTATATTTTTTAAGATATTTTTTTAATTCTAGCATTAATTAGATTTTAATTTGATTTATTTAGAATTACATTTTAGTTTTTAGAAGTTAATTTCGATTTAATTTAGGATTAACTTAAATAAATTTTGTTTTTAATTTTGTTTTTAATTTATTTTTGAACTAACTTTGTTAATTTTGTTCTTAATTTTGGCTTTAGTTTTAATTAATTCTTGAGTGCATTTGTGAATATTTCTTTGATGATAATTGTATATATTTGCTTTGATGGTTGATATGACTTTACTCTTGAATATTTACTTAAGTTTTGGTACTTGATGTTTTTTATGACTGTGATGCTTTGTGTTTACTTGTTGATTACCTCGTATTCGCATGATCCCTTAGGATTCCTAACTTCATTTAATTTATGATTAAGTTGGAGGTAGGAGAGACATTAGACTCTCAATCCAAGCATGACAACATTAGGTAGACTTTCATCCTAATCCTGACTTTAGGGCAATATTGTATGACAACATGTAGGATTCAGTTTTCCTTAGACCTTATGTGCGCCTCTCTCTTCTTTCACAAAACAATTAATAAATACGATGAGCATTGTGCGCCACGAGCCTTAAAAAAATGAGAAATGGTGAGTGAGGAGTTTCTCCTTACTTGTCTAGAGTGTTTAGTGTATGTTTTGTATGGGGGAGATATGTGACACATTTTCTTCTGTGTCATAGACTTTAGTGCAATACGCATCTCAGAAAATTCAATTCACTTCTCCGATTAGTCCAGAACCTTTTCTCTCGCCCCCGTGCTATCGAGATTCCGTTTTCTCGTAGTACTGTAAACTACAGATGCTCTGATTCCTCATTAGGTAACGAGGATATGTAGGCACGAGGATCCCTATCCTTGGCAAGCACGCTAACAACTAAGTTCCCTTTTCTCTCGCCTCAGTGTGATCGAGACCAACCTGTTAATCAAACCTTTTCACTCTCCCCAATGCGATCGAGACCTTTCCCCAACCGTAGTTAGCCTAAGTTTGCTATGATTTCTCATACTAGATGAGGATACGTAGGAAAAAGACAATGAAGTCTAGCGAGCAACCTTCCCCCATCACTCGTACTTTTCCGAAATACGTTGACTATGAATTTCCCATTGCACGAGGGAATACGTAGACATAGGGCATCAATGTCCTATCGAGTCTCC